ACTGCAGAGATCGACTTGGCTGACTGGAGGAACAACACGGAGTACAGAGGAGGTGTGTGAAGCGGGGCGGGGGGGGGGGGCAGATGGAAGAGGGATTAATGAGGTGTGTACGGCTGGAAGACGGGAGGCAGAAGGAAAAGAGGAGGGATGATGGAGGAATGTGATGATGGATTGCAGGGAGAAGGAAAGAGGGAGAAGCAGGTAGAGGTAGAGCCTCTATCTGGGGGAGTTAAGGGGGGTGTTAATGTTACAGAAAATGATGATTCATGAGTTTATAAACTGTTTGAATGCCTTTTATTTATATTATTAATGTGTCTCTTATCATTTTAAACGCATCAAACAAGCTTGAGCTCCAGTTTAAACCCCAACAGGCTCAAACATTTAGATGATGCAGGGACATTTTGTTTCTGACTCGCAGCCAGCACCAGCTGGGACTGCTGTAGAGCCAAGGATCGACTGAGACGCTCCAAACGGCTCCAGAACCGAACCGGGGAGGTGGAGGGAGGCGCAGCAGATCGAGGCCTCGTTTGTTATTCATCTGGCTCATGCACCATCATCATTTCTCTTCCTCACAGGTTACCATGACAACCACATAGTGATTCGCTGGTTCTGGGTGGCTGTGGAGAGATTCAACAATGAGCAGAGGCTGCGGCTGCTGCAGGTAAAGACGTGTGGGTGGGTGCGTTAAGGCTGCCCCCTGGTGGAGACAACTGGAATCACCATAGTACGCAAGAGGCAAAAAAAGTCGTTTAAAATCAGCGATTCGTTCACAGCGCGGAACAGGAGTTACACGTAGGTTTTTGAAGCGGCAAAGCATTAATAGTGTTATATCATTTATGAACCGATTTTATTAAAGAAACAATTTTTTATGATTATTTCTGGTTCTGACGGGTCACTCTTGAGTGTTTCCTGCAGGCTGAACATGAAAATAGTCTCCTACACCTATCTCCTGCATTAGACATCCATTCCTGACAGAAAACAGACGGTGAAACTCAAGGATTAGAAAAGCCTGACAGATCTACGTCAGATCTACTGTTACTTAAAGTGGGAGTCGAGGCATGAGAGGAGACTTATTTCATCCACACTTCCTGTTAGGAAAACACTTCTGAAAGAGGCGTCCCCAAGCACACACTGAGTAGAGTTACTGCTCAAGAGAAGAGCAGACACAGATTCTGCAGCATTTTGGAGGATTTCCTGTCAACGCGATCATTAGATGAAAAAGGGGAGGCCATTTTTATCAAGGAGGCGAACGGCTCCGAGCGCCAACGTGTCATATCGGCAGGTGAGTGGCTGAGCCAGGTGGAGGTGCGGCTGCCTTAGCTGGAGACCAGTGCGGTGCCGCCACGTAGTCATTTGCTGACAACGTTTTTCAGCTTCGCCATCAGCCACAGCTGGTTCTACATCACTGTGGAGCAGAGTTTTACCTGAAGATGGAGATAGAGTTACGGGTTTGGGCTGAAATATTAGATTTAAAGTAAGTTGTACTAAACTGATCACATATGTCCAGGGGCGCAGATAGGATTTTCAAACTGGGGGGGACAAAGTTCCAATGTACCCTCCCCCAAACACACACACACACACACACGTACACATACACAAACTATTGCAATCACCTTAACTAGAGCTCAGTGAGTTTTTGTAATTTCATCCAACGGTTTACGTAAAAACTAACTTTTATATACGTGTTTGAAGCCATAATGCAGCGGAACGCTGGCAACGAAGCTCTGCCTGATCAACACTATAAATGATAAATGATCCGCACTTGTATAGCGCCTCTCAGAGTAATGACTCCAAAGCGCTTTACACTACAGTGTATCATTCATCCATTCACACACACATTCACACACTGATGGTGATGAGCTACGATGTAGCCACAGCTGCCCTGGGGCACACTGACAGAGGCTTGCCTTTTTCACTTCATCCTGCATCCTAGCAGCAACCACTTTGGCGCCTCTGGAGTCGGTGTTTGTTTACGTCATGCTGCATTCAATGTAATTGGAAAAAGGAGCTTCAAGCGCTTAACCTCCGATTTTGTTTTCTTTCTGGCCTTAGTGCGGGGAACGGATCTGGGTCGATCTGAATCTGGGGGGGACAGATCCCCCCCGTCCCCCACCCTATCTGCGTGCCTGCATATGTCTACAGCATCATTAGACACTCATCTTTACAGGTTATCAGCAAAAAATAGTTTATTTAGGAGTTACTTGCTCTTTAACATTCATGGACTCACCCTGTCTTGACTCACGACAGGGAAGGCTGTTGATGGTTTAGCGTCCAGGAAGCAGGATGTCCAAGGAAGGTCCCAGCTTTCTCGTCTTGATTGGCTGGACAGGCTCTCCTACTACTAGTTCATGTAACAGCAAAAAACAAATATATTATAATTAAATTTCTTTCCTCGCTAGTGCAGGGTTTTTACGTCTGCAGACAGATTTTGAAGTTTTGTGAAGAAAATGTGAACTTAGTGCTATTAAATCCATTCTGTCCTGTTTTGCAACAAACCAGTTCAGTGTCTCTTAGAAGAACCTGAAAAACATCAAATTTGAACTTATATTAAATCTTGGTGCATTTATCACACTGTTGAATTGACTTTGTATCCGTTGGCTCTTAAGCACTGGGGTAATCTTATCACTAAAGGCCATCTTATGCCTTTGCTTTAATAGGTTAAGGCTGTTTGCAAGTTAAGACACGCTTCTCACCATCTGTTTAAATCTGAGGGTGTGATGAGTCTTTCATAATGCTGAAGAGCCACCGGGAGCTGTGTAGGTCTTCCCGTGAGGGCAGTGGACAGCCAACGATCCTCAGGGCAATGTTAATAACCCTCTGGAGTGCTTTCCTCTGAGCTGCTGTTAGAAAATCACAGCTCTGCTGAAAAAACCCAGCATATGTTGTGCTTTGGTGCTGGTTTAGCAGGTCAAGCATCCAATCACCAGCATCCCATGTTGGACCAGCATAAAAACCAGCACCAAGCTATGTTGCTATTTCCATCAGGGAGGCATGATGTCCAAATATCAGGAAACAAATCTCCAGAGTCCTGCCGTCTGAAGCAACCTTCTCCTCCAGCTAACTTCTACATCCTCAAACAGGCGTACCGGAGCTTTGTTTCCCTAGAAAACGACCCACAAAGAATTCATTCCTACTAGAGACCACTGCAAATGTATTAAAATATAAATAAACTTATCTTTAAATAAAAAGCAGATATTTTAAATGTTTCCATAATGTTTTCTCTGTTTTGCAACTTTAACGTTTCTTAAGTTTGTTAAATTCAGGATTTGATTTTTTTACTTCTTCCAAATGACTTGATGTTGTTTTCAAAGGCTTTGCTGTAAGGTTTGTTTTTATTTCTATTTTATATCTTTTATGTTTTACTTTAAAGTATGTTCTGTTTTATTTATCATAAACTCTTGTTGGTTGTTTTCAACTGCTTCATAAATACAGTTGGGTTTGTTTTTTTATTTATGAATCTGGTTACCAAACACACACACACACATACACACCTGTGTGCACACCCTGCACACACACCTGTGCGCACACCCTGCACACACACACACACACACACATACACACCTGTGTGCACACCCTACGTGCACGCACGCACACATACACACCTGTGCACACACCCTGCACACACACACACTTATGCACACACCTGAGCACACACACACCTGTGTGCGCACACCCTGCACACACACACACACACACACACATATGCACACACCTGAGCACACACACACCTGTGTGCACACCCTACGTGCACGCACGCACACACACCTGTGCGCACACCCTGCACACACACATGCACACACCTGAGCACACACACACACACACCTGTGTGAACACCCTACACGCACGCACGCACACACACACACACCTGTGCGCGTGCACACACCCTACACACACACACACACACATGTGCGCACACCCTGCACACACACACACACACATCTGTGCACACACCTTGCATGCTCGCATGCACACATACACGCACACACTTGTGCACACACCCTGCATGCACGTGTGCGCACACACACACACACCTGTGCGCGCGCACGCACGCACACACACACACACACACACACACCTATGCACACACACACACACACACACCTGTGCACACACACATTAACTTGAGTTTTTGTTTGGTTTGCTGCATTTTTAACTAACTTGAACGTTTCCTGTGGTTGAGTGAATTTTATTCCACCTTAAGCATCCTCCTTTCTCCTTCTCCTCATGGTTTTCCCTGCTGCAGTTTGTGACGGGCACCTCCAGCATTCCTTATGAGGGTTTTGCATCTTTACGAGGTAGCAACGGACCTCGCAGGTTCTGTGTGGAAAAGTGGGGAAAGATCACCTCCTTACCCAGGTGAGACGTGAGGTTTGGTGGTCATGTTTTATTTTGAAATGTCTGCACATAAAAAACCTCAACACTTTTCACTGAACATGACGTAATTTCATTTAAACAACAAATTTGAACCAGCACTTAAAATATCTGTTATATAGTCGCACCTCCACCAGTGCCAGCTGAAGGCCCTGGTGGAGGTGCGACGAGCAGCAACGCGTTGCAGATAAACCATTCACTAGCATCTGCATTAGTTAACAACACATGTGAAAAATCAGTTAAAATATAAAAGCTAAATAATCCTGTTTTAAAATCACATTTTAATTTTTAACATTCGTAAACAATAATTAGATATTTACATAGAATACCTGCAAATTAATCTTATTACTAAATTTGCAGAAATTGAGTCTTTCCCAGGACAATCTGGAGTATATCTAAAACGTTCCCAAACTGATGCTTCAGTAATTTTAGATGAGGGAATTTTCCAGAGTCTCAATTCTTTCCAATATGTGGACTATCCGGGTTGGGACAGGACCAGAGTCTGGTGCCACCATCAGGTCGCCGTAAGCTTCTGATTCCAAAGGCCCTGGTCCTAACCCTTTCTAACAAACAAACCAAGAGTCACATAAAAATCCTGTTTCCTCTGCTGTCACCCCTAGCCTACTCAGAACTTCCTGGTTGATCTGCTGTTGTGTTCCCACAGGGCTCACACTTGCTTCAATCGTCTAGACCTCCCTCCCTACCCATCCTTCTCAAAGCTCTACGAGAAGCTGGTAACTGCTGTGGAGGAAACGAGCACTTTTGGCTTGGAGTAACCTCGGATCATCCTGAGAGAACCATCTGGAGGAGATCAGGAACGATGAAGCTGAAATCCTCACAAAGCTACTGGCTCCTCGGGAATAACTTTTGTTCCAGCTTTTCCATCTTGCTCCGATTCTTTGCCTTTGTCTCCCCCTTTGATGAAGACTTTAAGAGAAGCTGGAGAAATAGCTGAACTTTTAGGAGTTTTGTGTCGTTTCCATGCTGGCCTGTGCTCTCTGAGCCACATGTGTGCTTTATCTCCTGCAGCTCAGAGGCAGCGGCTACAACACCACCAAGCTCCCTTTTCCCTCCCGGACCTTAAAACTGTGTCTGTCCCACACAGATCAACTCTCACACATCAGTCACCTTTTTGCACAAATGGGATATTTGGCAGTGCAGAGCTCTGTTTTCCCTGACATCTTCTGTGGTTATGGACTGATGGGACCTTTAGGTGGAACAAACGGAAACACTGGTGTGTAAGAAGTCCCATCTGTTAATGTTGGACTGAAAACCTGCTTGTTTTCACTGTTTTAGTCAGTTTAGTGACATATTTCATAAAACCTGTGTTGTGTCAGAACAGAAAGGCAGGATTTAGACAACACCACAGCATCAACAAGGTGTTTCTGATCAATCATACACTCTCGTCTTCACCCCCACAGACCAATCACGGCTTCCCTGCCTCTGAGAGAAGGTGATGAAGGTACAGAATCAGAACCCATCTCATACAAACAGGAAGAAGCTCTGAGGCTTTAACACACCAGGATGACCTCAGATGAACCTGTGACACATCCCATCAAGTTTTTTTTATTTAACATCAACTGAAAAACTGAGTCCAGCAATCGTCTTGTGTTTTATCTGATGAGGCTCACGTGGATCTGGAGGAGTTCTGGACCAGTTCTGGTCCAGTCTTTAGGTTTTAAGAAATCCACCTCTCTGACGGTCCCACCTCAGCATTTTAGCACGGTTCTGGTGTGGACTCAGACTGGACCACTGCAGGGCCTTGATCCTGTTGTATATCAGCTGCTGGGTTTATGGTTCTGTTTCATGACCCGGTTTGGTCCAAACTTCTGCTGTCTTGATAGGTGGACTCACATTAGGCTCCAGAACACTTTGGTCTCCAGAGGGGTTCCTGGTGGAGCCCAAACCATCAGTCCTCCACCTCCTCACCTACAGCTGGTATCAGCTGTTTGTGCAGCAGTGCATTGTGGGTAAACATCGCCACTGTGATGTCATTGTTCCAGATGCCCTGAGGTTCTGATTAATCTGTCCTGATGTGAGCTGAGCTGTCATGACCTTTAACCTTTGACCTGCTAACTGGGGTCTGTAGATTCTGAGATGAAGCTCTTAATGTGATGGGATTGTGGAGAGAATAATGGACTCTAAATGACCTTTGACCCTTCTTTAAGTAATGAGCAGCATCTCAGCTTCTCTAAGGTCATCCCTGATGCCCTTCCTCCTTGTTTTTACACACACCTGTATGCTCCGGAGCATCCAGGTGTGTGTAAACACACCTGGATGCTCCGGAGCAAGCTGACTGAACTCCTGCTTAGTTAGACAAGTTGAGGATCAATGCTCCTGATCAGCTGATAAAGAACCTCTGTATTCCTGTAGTATCAGTAGGACTGGACTCAGTTTTTCACTCAGTGACTCTGAATTTTGACTCCGTTTTTGTTAAATACCCCTTCAGGACCCCTCAGGGCCAGTTTTTATAGTATTATCCCCTGATATGTGAAACTCTAGAGAATTTATTTATTTTTACCATGACTATAAGTACTTGGGTAGAATTATCCAAGTTGATTGGGTTATTTTGATACCTGTGAGGTGTGACCATAAAAGTGGAAAGGATTAGAGCTGCAGTTGTCAGATATCACCACTAGGGGACACAGAGTACTCCATTATTCTCCTTGGGCCTGAATCACACAGCCAGGTGACGTCAGTAAAAGTTCTGACCAGATGTGAAACTGGAGCGGTTTGATGTCCAGTTTCAGCATCACCGTCATCTTCCTCTCACCTTCAGTTTGACACAAACACATCTTAGTCATCTTCTAATGGGGGTGCATGCAAGGTTACATCTACTGTACTGAAACCGGCTGGAGACATCCTGCTGTCTCAGCCTACCCCCACACATCCCAGTCTAGTAATGCATGCGGGATCTGCCTGGTCAGCAGCTCCGTGAGCTGCACCTGACAGAAACTTCTAGATGGTGTTGTGTCATAGCTTGATATTGCATGCTGAAATAGTGCAACACACCATCCTTACTAGCGTTTTTGCATGAGGGTACTTCTATTCATTCAGACACCTGGGTGAGGGAGCTGGTAAAGACGCGTCACAATGTTTGTGGTGCTCACTCGAAGCCTGCGGCCTTGTGCTCACCTGACACTGTCACACCTGTATGATGGTTAAGACCTGTGCTTTAAGGCTGGGGAATGTGTGAGAGAAACTTTCTCTTTGACAGTGTACCAGTGAGTTTTTGGCAGCATGTTTCTCAAATGTTCACAGGTGCGTGTCTGCCTATCTTAGTAATAAGTTGGTGGTTATGGTTTTTGACTCATGGTTGAGTAACGAGGCTGAATCCAGAGGGAAGTGAGGGCACATGTATCATGTATGCAGTTCTGATTGTCTCTTTGTATAGAAATGTATGTGTCTGTCTGTCCTGTTGTGTGTACGTAATATATATTTTGCACCGAATGTACCAAAGGTTTGGGGCTTGCTAGGCATTGTCTCGTTTCAGTCCAACAAACACATCCCGCTTTACAAATTCTTACAGAACACCGACTCTTATTTTGGTAAATTTAGAAGCATGGCAGCGATGTTTCACTAGGGTGTGCTGGACCAGTTTTCATTCACCACAGAGCTGATTCTATGGTGCATCGGATGGGCAGAACCTCACATCCTCAGTTCTGACCCGACTCAAATCCACTTTTCACAATTCCACTCTATGCAAAGCTCCTGTATGTGTTTCTCCATTTCACCCCAACGATTGTAATAAAAGAGAACAAATTGAATGCTTCGATAATTGGCTTAGTCTTTTTGTTCCAGTGGGAAGGTTTTTAACTAATTTTTGTATTTATCTCCTTAGAATCATCTCAGAGCTCATTTGTGCAACAAAACAAAAAGAATTAAGCAGCTAGAAGAAAATCTTTGTTAAATATCTGTTTAAGTCAAATAATTTTGCCCTGAAATATCTGTAATTACAAAATGTTATCAAATACAGATTAGGAAGAATAAATGGTGATCTGAGGTGATCGGAGTGCCTCAGATCACCATTTTTTCTTCCTAATCTGTATTTGATGTTTGTCCTGTAGAGCACCCAAAGAATATTTTTCTACATTATTCCCAGTGACACACTCACTTTCATCTGCTTACAAAATGTTATGCATATTTTTTAATATAGTTTTTATTTTCACATTTTATCAGTGATTGTATATAGCTTTTAAGTTTTAATTTATTCAGTAAACTTCTGTAATTTTCATTACTTACATTATAAATATCACTGCTAATTATACCGTAATTACATATTTTTAGAGTTTAGGTTTTTAGTTTCTTTAATAAATTTATTTTTCATAGTTTTTTTATATTGTTTTGTATATTTTGTGACGTCCGTCAGAACTATCTACAGTTCCAGTAAACCTTTATCATAACATCATTTCTAAGAAAAGCAACTCTTCTGGTTTAATGGCTGTTCTGCTGTAAACCGTATCCACTGTTCCTTATCCAAACACAGCAGTGCGCATGCGCGGTGCTGTGACGTGTCTGGACGGTGTCTAACAGGGATGTAAAAATGATCGTTACCGCTCCGGACAAACCGAATAAGTACAGTTTCTGTCGCCCGCAGCTGCCGTTTAGCTCGGTTAGAAACCGAAATTCCCGCCACGGTTTACGTTCTAGTCGGTTCTTTTAAGTTAAGCTAAGTAAAACTGGTTTAACTTACTTTTTCGTCGAGTTAAGTTAGCGACCGTGAGCTAACCAACCGGAGTCGGTTAGGCTCCCCGCTGGATAAACAGTATTATGTTCATATTCGTTGATGTGAAACGGGCGCTGCTTGGGTTACTTTTATTTACTCAGCGTTAATTCAAGGAACACCCAGCCGGGTCGCGGGAAGTATCTAGACCGAAGGCAGGTGAAGATGTCTCGGCGGCGGCTGGACAGTCGCAGTGGTCTGCCAGGCGGGCTGCTCGGGGAGGTCCAGACCCCGATCACATTGGAACCGGTGGAGAGCGTTTATGAAGTCACCGGAGAGCTGGGCAGGTGAGGAAAACTGAGCGGACAGCTGTTTGTGAAGGTCCAAAGAGAGCTCAGCTCACAAACGTCTGGGTCCATTTGATTTAATCATTTATTCATAACAGCTGGACTTGTGATCTGGGCTTTTCCGGATCTTTCCTTAGAACATGTGGATAAAACAGCTGATTTAAATGGGTTTATTCTATTTTGAAGCTTTATTCTAATGTTCTTTCAGTCAAAGATCGCGTTTCATTTTAAATCTGCTGATTAACTTGAATTATTTTGATGCCTCCTGTCAAGTATGCTGGTGTTAGCAGTGTGTGGACTCTGGACTGTAATCTGTAACAGACTGTAAATGGGCTGTGTGTGTGTGTGTGTGTGTGTGTGTGTGTGTGTGTGTGTGTGTGTGTGTGTGTGTGTGTGTGTGTGTGTGTGTGTGTGTGTGTGTGTGTGAGAGAGTGAACCACATCCTGAGAAGACTCAGGTGTGAGGTATGATCCAGCTGTCATCAGGAGGAAGGAAACACTCTCATGTGGAAATCAGAAAGAGGAACTTGGTCCACTTGTTGTTTTACATCATTTAAAAGCAGGAAGCCGTGAAGTGAACCTTTTTCATACATGATAAGAACTTCTAACTTTTATGTTGGTTATCTTTATTGCGTCATCATTGGTTAGTTTGTGGAACTCGTCAAGGCTGATGTAATCACGTTTAAAATAATTTCTCCACTTCAAAATGCTGTGTAAAAGTCTTAAACCAGATTCTGTACATGAATGACCGAACATTCTCTGTTTAGAGATATGGTGTTTTAAGTTATTCTACACGACGAGCTAACCACTAGTCCAGTGACCTGTGAGTCAGGCTGTCATTGGTTGAGTAATAAAACTTACCAGTAAGATCATTAAATACGTCGAGTACATCAGAATTGTTGTTATAGTGGAGATATGCTCTTTACGTTTAATTAGATTTTAGAGATCATTTGAAGACATCAGACCTCCATGGCTGGCAGCAAGGTCTCGACTAGACATGTGGAACCACCTGAAGTGGCTCTTTATAACAGGGTGGAGGAGTTTTAGCTGTTATCCTGTTTTAATGTGCATAAAGTAACTACAGCTGAGTGACATGAATAATAATGAGAAAACTCAGCTTTTAAATAGAAAACCATCATTTTAATATAAACTATGTTCACAGTCTTCACAGACTTTATTTTTGCAAAATAAAAGAACAAATAACTAAAATGGCCAAATGCTAAAGAAGCTGCAGCATATTTATATAAGTAGAGATGAAACTTTAAATGTCTCTCATCCTACTTTTAAGGAAGCACCAGATTTTGTGGTTGTGTCCAAATAGTGTTTAGTAATCAATTAATTTGCTGCAGTTATCAATTGATTAATCAAATAACACCCCACACCTTGTCTTAGATCCACAGCCGATAACCGAAGCACCTGGATGCTTTGTGCTGAGATTCTGGCATGTGGAAGCCATGCTGTTGTGAGCTGCTAGCTTAGCACTTCACAAGCTTAGCGCTAAACAAGCCACCGGCTTGAGGTTGAAATATTCTTACCAGTGTTTCCCCTAGGAATTTTTCCAGCTGTGGTGGAGGTGGTGTTGGTGGGGGGTGGGGGAGGGAGGATGACACGTCTCACCTTTATGTTAATATTGTTTTATTTGTTGCACTCCACTTTGAACTGCACCAATCCAGCGACTGCTGCATTGTAATAACTAGTAAAGGTGAGTACACCAATATTTGCACAAGAATAATTTCTGTTTTAAACTCTCATTGACACACTTTGCAGGGTGGATTTGGCATTAAATTTTTCTTGGCATCTGGAAAAACATCTTTTTCCCCCTTTATTTGACTCTCTGCCCCATTTATTTTGGTCCAAGACCATTACTGGGCTGGCCCTATTAAAAACGTTCTACACCCCTGCTTAGTAGACTTAATGAAGTATTTTTAAGCCAGTATAAAAATGATTGAAACACAAATTTACATATTTGGCATTACTGACCAATATTTTTTATTTAATTTATTTGTTAAGAACATCAAGATGCATTACAGTGAACATTATAATAAGCTGGGCGGACACTGTGCGACTTTTTCACTCGTAACACAGCTTCAGCTCAAACTGTACGACTTCAGCGCAGGGCAGATCTCACGAGTCATGTGCTCACTGTATGTCTGGTAGCAACACGTCGCCCCTAAAAATATGTTAAAAATAGCAGTTTTTACTCAACACGTCAGACTTTTTTGTCTTGTTTTGCCTGTTGTCCTTCGGGAGTGCTGCAGGAGGACACACAGGGATTTATGGGGGTTGGATGAGGAAACGAAATAAAGAAAGTAAATCTGTGTTTTGTGATCAGTTTAATTTGACATGAACATGACAAACATGCTTTCTTGACAATCTTTGTGAGTAAAAAAACGTGTAGAAATAAAAACGAACAACGTGTGTTATTAGGGAAATAGCGGGTGAGCGGAGTTGATGGATGATTGCGAATGCGCCGTGAGCGGTTCTGATACTTTTTGGGTCGGAGCTGCTCGCAGTGCCGCTTCAACCCTCATGAGGAACGAGATAAATATTAAAAAATATTAAACACTCCAGAAGTCCGTGCGAGCTCACGATTGCTGATCGGTAGCTGGTCACGTGGTGTTAATCGCCTCTCGTAACCCCCTGTACACTACACGACGCTCAGCGCAAAACTCGCCCCGATCTTGTGGATTCTCGCACGAGTGGAAAAGCTGCTCAAAAAAGTGAAAAAGTCGCACAGTGTACGCCCGGCTTTACTGTCTGTGTGTGTGCGTTGATGCCTGGGCCGAGCTGACGGAGCTCCCGGCTGCAGTTTTGTGTGTAGGGAGGGGCGGGCGCTCTATCTGACTGGCCAATCACAGAGCGTGAAGACAGTCAGTTACCCAATGAGGATTTCATTCAGCACGATTACAGATATTTACGAGTTTTACACTCGTTTCTTGCTCGTATTCGTCAAAAATGCTTTATCCGTACGCTTATAGCTGTAACCACCCTGCCCTGCCTCCTCCTCCTTGCTACCTGCCGGCTGTGATCACAAGCAACAACACAGTAGTTACCACTGCTTCTTCAGGAAATTGCGCAAAAAAAAAAAAACATCAATAAAACTTGGGATGTTGTAGGCGTGGCGGTGGGATTTCAGCCGTGGCGACCCGCCACGGCTACGCCTATGTAAGGGAAACCCTGCTTACTAGGGGTGTAACGGTACGCTAAAATCGTCTTCAGTTCAGTGCTTAGAAGAGTTCTGTTTGATTAATTTTGGGTTTATTATTATTATTATTATTATTATTATATTTATTTAATATGTAAGCGGCTCCTATAGTGAGCAGAAGCAGGTGTCATCACAGGCTGCTGATCTAGCGAGGTCATCAACTGTAGGAGTCAATGTGCTCTTTGCTTCTCCCAAGATCTCCTTCCCACCTGTGACTGTACCATAGATGGCTGCTCTCGCTGGGGGAAACAGGATCCCAGCCCCCAGCCTTCCTATTGGAGTCTCGTGTTATATTGTGTTGTCTGAATTCTGTTGAGGTGTTTTTATTTTATTTTGCAGAGCAAAGCTGCCCTCCCGGTGGAGGGTCTCTCTGAAGTGCCTTTTCTTCCCTCCACCTGAACCAATCCTCATGTAACCCTCTTATCTCTATTAAGGTAGCGCGACTCGGGTTGCGAATGACCACAGTCACCAATACTTGACATGTGTCTTGCCCATGTATGTCTGGTCTCTGAGTTGTGTGTACTGAAACTCTAATTTCCCTCTGGGATTAATAAAGTATTGATAGATTTATTGATTGATTAGTGCAGCTATGAGTGTCACGCTCATACAGACAAGTGTCGTGTTTGACTGATGATGCTCTGTGTTTTTATTCCTGTAGCGAGCTTTAAAAACTCACCTCACACCGCTCAGTTTCTTCTGTAACATTTGTATTAAATAACAAGCTTCCTCCGTGCCATATTTTTGTTGTAGGATGAAAACTTTACATCAATCATCCCAGGGGAAAAGTTCAGCAGACGTGTTTGTTTACGTTTTTGCCGTTGTATGTCTGGGGCGAAGCAACGCTCTGTTTAGCGTCTCTACAGGCTCTAGTAGCAGCTCCGTTTAGCGTCTCTACAGGCTCCAGTAACAGCTCCGTTTAGCGTCTCTACAGGCTCTAGTAGCAGCTCCGTTTACCGTCTCTACAGGCTCTAGTAGCAGCTCCGTTTAGCGTCTCTACAGGCTCTAGTAACAGCGCCGTTTAGCGTCTCTACAGGCTCTAGTAGCAGCTCCGTTTAGCGTCTCTACAGGCTCTAGTAACAGCGCCGTTTAGCGTCTACAGGCTCTAGTAGCAGCTCCGTGTACCATCTCTAGAGGCTCTAGTAGCAGCTCCGTGTACCATCTCTACAGGCTCTAGTAACAGCGCCGTTTAGCGTCTCTACAGGCTCTAGTAGCAGCTCCGTGTACCATCTCTACAGGCTCTAGTAGTAGCTCCGTGTACCATCTCTACAGGCTCTAGTAGCAGCTCCATGTACCATCTCTACAGGCTCTAGTAGCAGCTCTGTTTAGTGTCTCTACAGGCTCTAGTAGCAGCTCCGTTTACCATCTCTACAGGCTCTAGTAGCAGCTCCGTTTAGCGTCTCTACAGGCTCTAGTAGCAGCTCCGTTTAGCGTCTCTACAGGCTCTAGTAGCAGCTCCGTTTAGCTTCTCTACAGGCTCTAGTAGCAGCTCCGTTTAGCGTCTCTACAGGCTCTAGTAGCAGCTCCTTTTAACGTCTCTACAGGCTCTAGTAGCAGCTCCTTTTAGCGTCTCTACAGGCTCTAGTAGCAGCTCCTTTTAGCGTCTCTACAGGCTCTAGTAGCAGCTCCGTTTAGCGTCTCTACAGGCTCTAGTAGCAGCTCCGTTTAGCGTCTCTACAGGCTCTAGTAGCAGCTCCTTTTAGCGTCTCTACAGGCTCTAGTAGTAGCTTCGCTTAGCGTCTCTACAGGCTCTAGTAACAGCGCCGTTTAGCATCTCTACAGGCTCTAGTAGCAGCTCCGTTTAGCGTCTCTACAGGCTCTAGTAGCAGCTCAGTTTAGCGTCTCTACAGGCTCTAGTAGCAGCTCCGTTTAGCGTCTCTACAGTCTCTAGTAGCAGCTCCTTTTAGCGTCTCTACAGGCTCTAGTAGTAGCTTCGCTTGGCGTCTCTACAGGCTCTAGTAGCAGCTCCGTTTAGCGTCTCTACAGGCTCTAGTAGCAGCTCCTTTTAGCGTCTCTACAGGCTCTAGTAGCAGCTCCGTTTAGCGTCTCTACAGGCTCTAGTAGTAGCTTTGCTTAGCGTCTCTACAGGCTCTAGTAACAGGGCCGTTTAGCGTCTCTACAGGCTCTAGTAGCAGCTTCGCTTAGCGTCTCTACAGGCTCTAGTAACAGCGCCGTTTAGCGTCTCTACAGGCTCTAGTAGCAGTGACAGCCATCAGGTTTCGTCCGCTCTGAAAGGCGTTGATGAGAATTTGCAGACCACATTTTTTCAATGGAGATTGGGCGCGTGCAGCCATCATGGGTCATTCAATACAGCATCCGTACGGAAACTTGCCTAGGAACGCAAATAAAATTAATTATTTTACGGAAAAAAAATTAACCAAAGCTGTACGCAAGTGGACCGAACCTAACAGGCCGAAC